CCAGGGTATCACACCTAAAACCAGGGGTTCCCATACACACACTCTTGCCACAGCTCTTGCCCTTCGACTGTTGGTACTGGAGAGCTGTTCCATGCCAACTTATCCACTGAAAGGTGAGGCGACAGGGTCAGCAGTTCCTTGAACGTGGCTAGTCGTCATCGGTCCACATACAAAATGAAAGATTTAGTAGAGGTGTCTTGAGTCTGAAAAGTCTGTATCGCTTAATAGTGTCATAACCACTTGTTTCATAACTGAGGAAATACTGTCTGAAAAGATTAAGTAATCCTTTATAGATGAAATTACCACAGTTAAACAGATTAAATGTGGCAAACCCCAGCAACAAGGATGAAATGTTGAAAACTGCCCTAGAAGATAGGAGATACAATTTAGAGAAATGATGTGAGTAGCAGACTGACTTCTCATTAGAGTTTTTTAGGCACTAAAAGGGGGTGGGGGAGCCAATCGCTACCCAGAATTCTACACATCTCTAGCAAATAACATGCTTTGATAATAAAAGTAAAATAAATGTCTCAAACACAAAATCATTAATAATTCTTTTCATACAAAAGAAAACTGAGAGAACTTCTCAACAGCAAAAAGAAAATGAAATTAAAAATTAAAGATATAAAATCGATTGGGTAAATAAGACCAGATAGAGACTCGGAGTTTCACGAAGGAATGAAGAATATAGGAGGTGGCAACTGTGATGTGTATCTAGAATGTGCCACCCAGAATCCCCTTCAGGGACAGCCCCTTGCTCCAGCCGAGAGCGCTGCCAGCAGACAGCCTTCAGTTTTCTGGGACTTCAAAGGGTGTTTGCTTTCCTTGCTCAAAATCAAGCCCTTCCCGGGGCAGCCCACCCAGTAACTGAATAAGGTGGAGATATAAAGACCAGCGTTCTCATCGATGTGGAATCTCTCAACGGCCAGCTAGCTCAGTAGTCCCCACCCCCACCTGCTGTGTCCGATGAGAGTGAGGGTTGAGATGCAGGAACATTCTGTACACCAAACCCCAGCTAAGTCTGACTCCAGGAAAACCTGCCACGGCATCAACAGTTAGGAGCATCAGAGATGCTTGAAGAAAATTACCTCTTTATCAACAGAAGAGCTGCCGGGTGGACCTCAATGCTGCAGCTTCTCTATGGTACTTTCTTCAAACAGAATAAGATTATGTTCCCAGAATGGAGCCTAGGTTTTCAGACGTGCAAGGCATATAAATTCAAGGTATGAAAACCTTGAAATTCTTTGTTTAGGGCTAACGCATGAATGATGTCAGTTCTTGGGGGAAATGAGCAGATTATAATCAACTCTCATAAAAATTACATGTGTTTGTGATGTTTATCATTTCTTAAAGTGCTAGACGGTGATTACTTCTTAGTGTCACACAATCCAAAGCTACATGACACCCGCTGTCTGGCTCCCTAGACCCAGTCAGGAGCTGGAAAATGGGAGTCAGTGACATCAAGGGAGAAGAGGCAAAATGGAAATGTCACTGGTAACATCTTAATGACTGCATAGATTAATGCTTCAGACGCAATATAAAACCCAATGACCACTGGATAGTTTTGTCCAGGAGCATCATCAGCTGAAATACCCCTAGTCTTTTTGAGGCGCAGTTTGCCTACAGAGAGTACCTTCATTTACCCCCATCGTGTTCCAGCCATTCTGAGCTGGCTAGCCTCCCTGTACCTAATTTCTGTCTCAACCCATTTCCCAATCTCAGAGCATTTTTTTCCTCCTAGTTAAGGCTAAGGACATAATCTGTTGGCGATACTTTCTCCTTTCCCATCTCTTCTTAGATCTTGCTCTCTGTTACAGAGAGGAAAAGAGATCCTTTTGGCCCCTCAGACCTGAATGCCAGCATTTCTGGTATTTCCTCTATCATTCGAATCTCTGTATTGGCTTAGAGGGAACATCGGCTCCATACGTGGTTCACAAATGCTGGGTTTTTCTATACTCCCCAGCATAGATAGGAATGGCTAGCATTCATGTCCTTCCTCTACAATTCCCTTCTCAGCCACCAACGTAACCCTGTTGTAAGGCCCCCTGCTAAGAAGCTCTCTGTTTCTGCTTCAAGGGGAATACTTTACTGAGTGCCACTGCCAAGCAACAGGATGCTGCCGCCACTTTATTCTCCAAAACTACTGCCTTCGATTATTGTTTCTTTTCACAAGCTAGCAGATGACCTCACTGTTAACTGTACAATATCCAGACGATCTATTTATTCATTAAAGTCCCTTGGAATGCACCCTTATTTTTTTATTATTATATGACACACTGTTCCTGCAAGCTAGGTCCCATTGTCTTACAGAACCTCCTGGCCTTTGCTCCTGTTACACATCCCTCCTCTCAATTTCTTCTCTAACTTTATCTACCTAAAGCTGTTAGCCAAGGCCCAACTCGAGACCCAACTTTCCTCATTTTTACTTTAATATTTTCTGGGGTTTTGTTTTTTGTTTTTGGTTTTCTTTTTTTTTTTTTTTTTTTTTTTTTTTTTTTTTTTTTTGGTTTTTTGGTTTTTCGAGACAGGGCTTCTCCATGTAGTTTTGGTGCCTGTCCTGGATCTCACTCTGTAGACCAGGCTGGCCTCAAACTCACAGAGATCTGCCTGGCTTTGCCTCCTGAGTGCTGGGATTAAAGGTGTGCACCAATACTGCCTGGCATATTTTCTGATTTTTAAATGTTCCTTGAGAATTTAATTTTATTTTCATCTCCCTCATTTAGATTGCTGGAAACTTTTAGCCAGTATTCTTGCATATACCACACATGCACACATGAGAGAGAGAGAGAGAGCTCTTAGCATTTTTATTTACCAGAATATTAAGCATGAACATCCAGAGAAAAACACACCTATATATCAAGCTAATCGTCAAATTTACAGCTGGCACAAAATTAAAAAAAGAAAGATAAAGCTGAAGTTAGTAAGGACAATTCATTGCTTTTCTGATGTTGCTTTTAATCTCGCTAGAGCTGGTTGTGTCTCCTCCGGTTACTACCTGCCCCCTAGTGGAAGATAAGGAAAATGAGCAAAAAATATGAAAAGGAAGAAAACACTGGAGGGGTTGGTTCCTTTTTTTTTTTTTTTTTTTTTCTTCTTCTTCTTCTTCTTCAACTCACATTGGCAAAAGCAGTAACTTCAATAAAAGGTGGAATGAAACCATAATTTGAAGATGAGAAAACTTAGAAGACAATGGGCAAAAGTAAGTGGAAAGAAATGGCATGGTCTGTATGGGCTGTGAGAGTGGAGGACAGGCAGCCACGCATGAGACGGAGAGTTTACATTCTTTTTAACTTCCCCTTTGAGGATTTTTATTAGATAAATACCACATGGTTTACAGCTTAAAGCAAATTTTTAAAATAAATAAGCAAAAGAAACACATCCTATCCTTTACCCTGATACCCTTCCCCTCTCTCCTGTGTGAACCGATCTTACATAGAGCGAGCCGGCTACTCCTGTCTGCAGCACCAGTACCAAAACCATAAAGTTTCAGCCTGGTTGATTTTCAGCCCACCGTTCTAAATGACTTCTTGGTGACCTTATCATGCCAGATCATGGGTATAAAGTAATTTGCTTGTTTGCATTCGAAACACTTGATGATTTTATGATACAAGCCTGGACTTCAGAGACTTGATGAACTTAGCGTCTCCAACCTGTGCTCAGATGCAGTTTTAAAAACTCACCCTTCAGCCTTTAAAATTCAAATTATCTGCTACGTTTTCACTTTGTTGCTTTTCTGTCTGCTTCATAACGCAACCTGACACAAACAGCTCCTTGCCTGCCTGGCTTTCCCTGTCAAACTCATCCTTCACAGATTTCAGGAGCTTTCCAGAGAAGCCCAGCTCCTGAAAGATGCAGATCTATCTTGTTCTTTTCCCGTTCAATCTATAGCCCAATATTAGCTTAGCATTTTTCAGCAGCGTTACAATGGGCGGTTCTCTTTAGTGAAAAGGGTACCGGTAATCTGCTCACTCAAGTGTTCTGTGATGCTCCTTATCACCACGGACAAATCATTTCACCTCTCTGAGCTTCAAGGTCTAGCTTTGTAAAATGGAGCTGTCTTCCATGCCTACCTCACTGGGTTGCTATGCACATCAAAGAGAAAAGATATGTGAAAATTCTCAGCAGAGAAGTGCAGAGGTAGTCCAAAGTTACTTTACATGTGCTCACCAACAAGGTTATCATGAGATAGTCTTTTTCTCAGTGATAGGCAAAAATGATATTAAAGAAATTCTGATGAGAGGGAAAAATACCATTTCTCCTTTAAATCATTAAACTATAAAATTTAGAGCTAAGTACGTTGCTCCCTGCAGCTTCTCCATCGACTAAAAGTGAAACATGAAAATGCCCTCCCACATCAACGCCCACCTCCCTTCTATAGTGAAACCAGGACACCCCCACAGTAGCCCTAGATTCTATTCAACTCCTACAGGAATGCAGACATTGAGGAGTGCACCTTCTGATTCAGAAAGTGTCTCCTGTAGCCCACACATCTTCAAGATAAATACAGACATACATCACAGATGTGCCAGCGTAACTGTATGCATAAAGCCCACAGTCACAGAAAGTGAGAGAAAGAAACAAATATTCCTAACTTACACTGTTGGCAAGGGAGACCTAGATGGGTTATGGGAAATGTCAGTCATTTAAATTTTTTTTCGAAGAGGGAGAAAATACAGAGAACCGATGTCGCTTGGATTGCTATGAATATGCCTTTAATTTATTCTGCTTTGCCCTTAAAGGGAGGGGAAGACGAGGACACAGCAGTGGAGGAAATTATAGAAACGCATATATTGTAGGACACAAAGCAAAATAAATACGACAAAGCAGAAAGCAGGGGTGATGAGACAATTCACATCTGGAGGACCCCCACCACCCCATCTCTACGGCAGCAGTTGGCTTGCTTGCGTTTGCCTGGCGAGAAGGACAAGGCTCAAAAGCAGCGCAGAGCAGGTCTCTCTCTCTCATCCCTAGTCATTCTCCCGAGGAAAATTCAGACTCACCAGCCACAAAGACCCCCCATATCAAGAGTACCGCTAGGTCAGAAGTTCTCCAAAAGCAGGACATTTCTGGTTTCTGGTGTCTGCCGCTCACTCGGTACGTTTTCTCCTCACAGGTAGGGGAGCAACAGTGACCATGGCCAGGTTCCCTCCGCTCTCCCGCTGGCTTCTGCGTGGTAGCACCTCTTAACCCATCAGCAGCGAGCGCTCCTTTCCTCTCTGCCCCTTCCTTAGTCTGATTAGTAACTTGGAAGAGAAGAAACTTCTCTGGGACTTGACACAGCAGTGGATTTCCTGTGCAATGCCCTGCAGCTTTGCAGAGGAAGCAGATTGAGTGACTTAGCTTCCAGCTCATTGGTTCTTCTCTCCTGCTGCTCACAGATAAACTGTACAGTGAGGCTCTGAACGTGCCTAAGACAGATGGATTTGTCCATTCAAAACAGAAGTGGGATTTTTACCTAGGGGGGGTCTATGCTTGTAAATTTCCCAATCACAATTAAGTTCTGGAAAGTTCTCCAATTTGGGGGGAAAATGTATAGCCAGCCTTCTTCAGTCTTTAAAGGTAGAATAAATGTTTCTCCTTGGAAATGCTTGGGTGAAATTACTATCTGGTGTGGAAGTCCAAACATAATGCTAGGAGCATCATAAGTGTACCACTTTTCTGTTATTACTCTAACAATCCCAAAATTAGTGGCTTAACACAACACAAATGCAGTGCCTGGGAGTCAGAGGCTGAATGGCCTTGTATGGGGTTAAATGGCATTGTATGGGCAAGGCATGGCCAGGCAGGGTTTTACTTCTGGAGGCTCAACCTTTCCCAGCACCTAGAAGGTGTCCCTGCTCTCTGGTCTGTGGACACATCATGCTGGCCTTTGCTCCGTTGTCATACCTGATTCCCTGACCATGACCCCTCCGCCTCTCTCTTAAAAGGATCCTTTGTGATCGATCTGGTCCTGGTCATTATCTCTCCATCTGAAAACCCTTCATTGAATTACATCCACAGAGTTCATTTTGCCAGATCAGTGGACATTCAGTCACGGACCTCTGTTGGAGGTTCAATACTGAATTTCCATTCTCTCTGACTTTTGAAGAGTTAGGTTATTTCAGTTGTCACACATCTGAGACTCTGACTTTCCAGAAAAATTCTATGTAATGTTACTAGTTCATATGCACATAGATTATAGCTGAGAGGAAGAAAGGAAAAAAAAAAAAAACAACCTCTGTGGTAAGAATTTCCTACCCCAGGGCAAATGCTCCAGGAAGGGGAAGAAAATATTGCAAACAGGAAAAAAGATAAAACAGCACGCATTTTTTTTTCAAAGTTGGCAGTTCCATCTTCCCGCTTACCAAACATTAAACTGTGTGCATTTCCCCTCCCCCTCTCAAGCTTTCTCAGTGAATCAATCTGATTCGGATAACGAGATAAGATCCTCAAGAGCGAGAAAGGCTTGAAGACATGGGCCGTGACAATGAGTGGACAGTGGCTGTCCTCCCTTCTGTCGATGACTCACCAGATATCTGAAAAAAAAAAATCAAAGAAATGTCATTTAAATCGTGATACTGTTTTTCCATCACACGAAGCTGTTAACACTGTAGGTTCTGATGACAGACAGAACGGGGCTTAAATTCTCTGCCAGGCAAATGTCAATAATGTTGGCTAATTTTCTTAGTCATGTCTGTATTCTTTTTTCCACTTGATGTTATAATGACATGAGCTTTTTTTTTCATGTCATCAAAAACTCTTGATGATGAGGGGAACAAAATGGCTTAGTGGATAAAGATGTTTGCCAGCAAGCCTGAAGACCTGATCACAATCCCCAAAAACTACGTAAAGGGAGAGGGAGAGAACAGAGCCAACTCCACAGCTATCTTCACAAATCACACACACACACACACACACACACACACACACACACACACACACACACACATACACACACACGAGGGGGCGGACACATTGTTTAATTTTGCTTTTCTTTATTTTTATTCTCTTTATCCTTCATTTCTGAGATGGCCTGGACTCAAACCTTCTGTGCATCTGAGAATAACCTTGAACTCCTGACCCTCCTGTCTTCCCCTCCCCAGTACTCAGATTATACTGTGACCTGTGTCAGCACACCTGGTTTAAGCGCTACTGGCTACTGAACCCATGGCTTCTTGCATGCTAGGCAAGCATACCATCAACTGAGCCACACTCCCAGCCTGAAAAAAAAATTACTAGTCATTTATTTTAATGCCTGCTTGATGCTAATATCAAAACTAAGCTCAAGAGACCTGCAAAGTTTCAGGGAGACCTGGTTGCTGGGCTGAGCACAGCATTTCACCATTGCCGCCTCAGTTCTTCAGACTCAGCTCCCACGCCCCAGTCTGAGACTTCAGGTGTGATTTTCACAGATAGGCTCCCTGTGCTCTCAACTGAGAACAAACCACAAGCTTTAACCAGCTGTATAAGAGGCGATTCAATGACTTCCACACCATAGAATTCACAAAATAGAGGAAAGAGTGTGCTTTTTCTCTCAACACTCCCATCTTCTACCCTCAAGCCCCACATCTCAGCTTTCCCAACTCCCACCTTCTCTTCTTAAGAACAAGCATTTAAATTAAGGCTCCAAGAGTTTATCATCATCCACTGTGCCGTGAGAATCACCATAAGAGAAGTGTGTGTACATCTTGTAAAGGCTTCTCTCTGGAAAATCTCAAGGCCCTAGTTTCTTCCTGCATGTACTTTTTGGTACCAGACCGCAGGAGACAGAGCAGAAGAATGAGAAACGATCAAGAGAAAGAAATTGCTCAAGCAGAAACACAAACCCTGCAACTGTCTTTTACTGTTGTCTATTAAGAATCAGGGAATTTCAGGAAGAAAGAAAGCAGGATGGGATGGCATAGACCAATCATGTGATAGCCAAAAGCCAAAGGCTTAGCAAGCTTCAGTAAGTTAGAGCCCCTGTAAGCCATGACAACCGCAAACCTGTAACTTAGGCTTACTCAAAAATTACGTATCTGTCTACAAAGGCTATTCAAGTAAACATCGTCTGCTCAGGAGCATTTCTCAGTCTCAAAGGGCTGGGGTGTAGTTCAGTGGTTAAGTGCTTGCCCAGCATGCTCAGTCCCTAGCACTGAAAAAGGGGATGCAGCCTGTAAACTGCATGTTTCTACTTTCACATCCTATCATTATGTTGATATTTATCTTGAAAATTTTCACTTCTACTTACATTATGTCATCAACATAAAAACCACCATATGTATCATGTAAGAGCTAACCATTTTTGTTATAATTTTACCAATTGTACAAAAAATTAGACATGGGTGTTTGAAAGCAAAGTACATACAATATCAAACAAGTGATCTACATGTTCAGTGGTTAGTATGTTAGCATACTTTGTATGCATAAAGAAACATTAGTGGCCTTTTATTTGTTGCCAGGAATCAATTCTAAATCTCACTGGTCACATTCATGTAAATAACACTTACTAAGCCCTACACTTAACACCCAAAGCCGAGTCCTAAACACTTCACAAATATTACTCTATTTAATTCTCTCTACAACCCTATGCAGAATAGTATCTTTACTATTCCCGTTTTACATTTCCCCTTCTTAGCCAAAAGGACTAGGTAAATTTCCCAAAGACACACATGTGACACATGATGGAAGCAGGAATAAGACCCAGGAAACCTACCTTCATAGTTGGGTACTTGGTTAGTTAGACTTTCATTTTCTAAGCCCTTTCTAATGCTCTGTCTTGTCTTCAATATATCGTCCAATAAGTATTCATCTGTCATTTATTTTCTCCTTCAATTTCACACACTTATTATTACATTGAGGTTTGTTGTCGTTTTGTGTGTGATTATTTAATAAATAAACCATCTGCTCTAATCTAGTTTTTATTAATAATACTGCTCTCTGCTGCCCACTACAGACAATTTTGTGAAACCAATTATTAAGGCTTTCAAAATTATATTTGATAAATTCAGTTAAGAGCTTCACTTTGAGATTTTGAACACAACATAAGTTATGCACTTGCACACTTAATTAATGTCATCTATAAATTTATTAAACATTACATAGTTGGGCATTTTAATTCCAGAATTCAGGAAGCAGAGGCAGGCAGAGGCAAATAAATCTCCCTAAGTTTGAAGCCAGCCTGGTCTACATAGCAAGCGCCAGGATACCCAGGATTACATAGAGAGACCTTGTCTCAAAAAAAAAAAAATTACAACTGATTACCTAATGGAGAGTGTGGGTGTCCTAGCCAGACGACATGTTATTTAAAAGAGTAATAATGAATCTTCTGAATTGCTGAGGAGCTTTAATACAAAGAGTATAAAGAAAATGAAACGTAAGAGATTCCATGCCTCATTTCAGGAAAACTTGAAGATTGCCATCCTTGTGGTACTGTGGAAAAGAAACTCAGAGATGGAATTTGGTGTGCGGAGAAACTTTAGGCCATCGTTTGTACAAATGAAGGGATAGAGGGAGGTGGTAGAACAGGAGGAGAACACTACACAAGACTCAGGTAATCCCATACAGGGTTCCAGAGTGTAAATCATTCTTTAGAGTTGTCCTCTATTGGCCCCAAATGACCAGGTTTAAAGCTTCACACTCGTCAGTCACAATAGATGGCTACAGGAAGACCTGAGTGTGACATTCCAGAAAAGTTCTGAACTGTGGGCAACACCATCAAAACTGGAATAGCAAAATTCTTTACTGAAAGGGGTCACGTGACACCTTGCAGTGTCTGCTATGAGAATAAATACTGGAAAGTAATCAGATCCAATTCTGTGTTCAGACACAGTGCTTTTCTGTGCTACCAACTGTATTTATGCCCCCAGAAGCCGAATAAATGGGAGAGCTTGCTTAATGCTATCTTGAAGTATTTTCTGCTTTAAGATATTTCCTACTTAAAGCAGTTTTTACTTATGGGTGGTAATTGGGAATTCCAGAAAAATACAGAAGTCAACCACTACCACCAAAAAAAAAGAAAAGAAAAGAAAAAGAAGAAGAAGAAAAGAAAATGAAAATCACTGCCACATATCTTGGCTAAAAACTAACAATGTGGCAAAATATTCTAGATTCAGATAATGATCATCTGATCTTCAAGAATTACTAAGACTGAAAAGTTGAAAAAGAACATTCCACGTGAAATTATCTTAAATGCCTCAGATAGTATTCAATTGATAAATAAATTCCTTGTGGCCTTCTTGCAAAATAATATAAAACATGAAAACCACAGCAGTCACAAAAGCTTGTGTTTTCCTGAAATTTCATTCGAATTTCATTGGCTCCAGATTTCTAAAAGGGAATGATAAATGTTCTGTTGAATTATTATGGTTTTAGTCTCCCAGGGAGTT